CCCCAAAACCCCAAAACCCCAAAACCCCAAAACCCCTTTACTAAAACTATTATTTGAAAATGGCTGATATAGACTATTCCAAGTGGGACAAGATAAATTACGAAGAAGGTGAAGAACAAAAAGGTAAGTACTGGCCTAACCCCTAGTCGAGCTTGACTATGAAATCGACTCGGACGGAGAACCTCCTGAAGACCAGGTTGGCGATCAACGCAATATCAAGAGAGAAAAATAATGATAAAATAGTCGTCAAGGAGATCATGAAGGTCGGATCTGGTCTCAGCAAACCTGGGAAGCCTTATATTGTCCTAGTACATGCCCTTGGGTACACTAAGAGCAAGTTCTGCTTCCTTCCACTGAAGAAGAACGTGAAAATGACTCTTGGAGATGCCAGACTTCCCTCTGGTCTTTGGAAATCCATTGAGCACATGAAGAAAGGCGAATGTGCCAAAATTTGGATCAAGCCTGGAGAATTTGGCTTCGGCAGGGAACGCAACCCAGAAGCCCTCCAGTGGCCAGATTTGGTCAAAGATGACGAAGAACTCAAGCAAAAGCTTCGAGATGAAGAGATTTACTACGAAATTGAGCTACTTGACTGGATCGTCAGATCAGATATACTAGGTGATGGCCAACTCATGAAAACTTATGAGACCAAAGGAAAAGGTCTTGAAAGATGTGGAGACGATGATGAAGTCGTTATTGATTACAAGATCTCCAAACTTGATGAAAACACAAACGAGACTGAAATCGAATCCGGAGAAAATGAAGTTCTAAACATGATCAATTACCAATCAGAGCTCGCTCAGAGTAAATCCGCTTATTCTGAAAAGCTGGATGCTAAGCTTGGTATTGACACGAAGCCTCCAGAAACTACTTGTCCCTCTCTTGAGCTTCAGACTAATGAGAAGTTTACTTTCATCATTAAAAGGATTCTGAAAACAATGAAATTAGGGGAGAAAAGTTTCACCGTAGTTCAACACGGTTGGATGCAAAAGAATGACCCAAAAGGAGCAGCCAGATACGACCTAAAAGAGACCGAAAGACTCAAAGTAGACATTGAGTTCAAGCAAATGATCCACATAGAAGATTTTTACAAAGACTCCACTACCTATATCAGAACAATTGACAAAGGAACAGGCACTGGATCTCCTCTATCAGATAGCATTATCGCTCTTAACATCAAAATAGCATACAGCAGGGTTAGCGAGGAGGATAAGGAAGAGGTCCTATGTGAAAATGAAAAGCCTGTTGAGTATGCTCTCGATGAATACACTGTCCCTCCACTTATCAGAAACATCATGAAGACCTTTAAGCATCAGCAAAAAGCTGAGATCCATACAATTCTTAAGGAAGAGTGCACTCCTGAGTTTGATGATGAGGAAAACGGCATGTTTAAAAAGGAATTTTTCGATAAAGTTGGTCAAACAGATGAAGCTACTGGAAACCAAAGATGGATTGTCTTCAAGATTGAGCTGGTCGCCTTCGAGACCCCAGAAGCAATGCATGGACTTTACCTTGAAGATAAGATCCCTAGGCTTCTGAAGATGAAAGATATTGCAGGCAAGTTCTTTAAAGCGAAGGATTGGCCCAAAGCTTGTAAACAGTATCAAAGAATGTACAGTCACTTCAATCTTAAGGATATCTACAATAACTTGCAGAACGAAGACATAGAGTCAGAGGAGTACAAGAATAAAATCGCTGAATGCAAGAAAATCGAGCTACAATCCCTGACCAATATCTGTGTGGTAAAATCCAAGATGGGTGACTGGCAAGACATTGTAGACATCAGCCCAAAGGCATTAGAAATCGACCCTGATAACATAAAGGCTCTGTTCTTCAGAGGGAAGGCCTTACTGAACCTCCTGGAATACGATAATGCCTCTGAATGCTTCACTAAAATCCTATCTCTAGATCCAAAGAATGGAGTCACGCTGAAGGAAGTACAGAATTTGAAGCAAGAGAAGAAGAAGTACTTTGAAAAGCAGAAGAAAATGTATAAATTCATTTAATCTTCAACTTCTGAGGTTGCCTAAGGGGTTTTGGGGTTTTGGGGTTTTGGGGTTTTGGGGTTTTGGGGTTTTGGGG